AAGTCAGCCTTGGGTTGAAATTATAAACTGAATGCTTCAGAAATAGTCTTCCCCCTGCCAAATGTGATTAGGGTACAAGGACAGCAAAGTTAGCGTCCTGCTGCTTCCTTAGAGGTTTGCCTTTTGCGTGCTGGAGAATGATTCCTTACGGAGGTCATTCAAAACCCCTTGAAGCAGAGTTGACCCAGACACATGGCAACCCCACGTGGGTCCGAGCAGAATTGTGCCCCGTGGTTGTCAATGTCGATTTCTCAGGAGCAGATTGCTGGGCCTTTCTTCTGAGGTGCCTCTGCATGAACTCAGACCTTTGTGACTTTGGTTAGCAGCAGAATGCATTAAACATTTACGCCACCCAGGGAACCAGGGTAATTTATTGTTTGTTGTTAGCTGCTGTTGAGTGGGCTCCGCTCATGTCAAGCGTATGTAGAAATGAATGAAATGTTGCCCAGTCCCACACCATCTTCATGACTGCTAAGTTTGACCCACTATTGCAGCTCGAACATTGTTGAGCTATTGTGTTAATTCACCTCAGGGTTTCCCTCCCATTTTTTGGCCCTCTATTTTACCAAACAAGATGCCTTTTACTAGCAATTGGTCTTTCCTGATAAGCTATCCAAAGTAAACAAGTTGAAGTTTTGCCATACTTGCTTCCGAGGAACATTCTGGTTGTATTTCTTCATTCTACTGGCAGTCCAATGTATATTAAGTATATTTTGGGCAACACTATAGTTTGAATGAATGAAAATAATTGACAATTCAGAATGTAAATTCATAATTTTCAAGTATAAAATTGTCCAATCTTTTCATGATTCCTGTGAATGTTGTCGTTGTTATGTGCCATCGAGTCGGACCCGACTCATAGTGATCCTCTGTACAACTGACTGAAACACCACCTAGTCCTGCACCATCCTCACAATCTTTGCTATGCTTCAGCCCATCATCGCAGCCACTGTGTCAATACATCTCATTGAGGGTCTTCCTGTTTTAGTGTAGTGCCTAAGGCACTTGACTGCTAACCAGAAGGCTAGTGGTTCAAACCATTCCTCAGAAGGAAGGTTGGGCAATCTACTTCCGTAGTGATACTATCTCAGAAACCCAAGGAGGGGACTCTATGAGTTGGGTC